TGATCTGAGCTCATCTCTGCTGGGTCCCTAAACCCTTTCTGCTCCCTGAACCTCAATAATTCTCCAAGTTGCCACGAAGATTCTTCCTGGGGACAGAAAGGAAACAGCTAATGACGTCCCTGGCTGCCCCTCAGCCCTACATCCCTGTGGTCAGAGTCGCCCCTTCCTACACCTCTCCTCAGGAGGCCAGTTCCTCCCATGCTGCCAGGTGGGATGGGGGGAGTCAAGACACCACCGTTATAGACACTGAAAGGCTCGGCCCCCACGGGGCACACTCTGGAACCGTGGCCAATGTCTCTGGTCTCCCTCCCAAGAAGGCCCAGTCTCAGTCAGGACGGCTGCCCAGAGATGGCCTTGGAGGGTTCCAGGACCTGCCTGGGCATTTCTCCAGCTCTGGGAACCTTCCCTGGTGCAGGGCAGGTGTGAGGGTAGGAGCCAGGCGGGGGTCCTCACAGGCCAAGTGGCCACAGCATACTTCCTGGGCCCCAGGCCCTGATTGCATCCTCTTTACCTGGGCTGAGAAGGAAGTATGGATAGGTCTCATCTGTCTCAGGGGTGAGGGGCTGGAGGACTCTAGATAGTGCCAGCAAAATTCCGGCATGATCAATAAGCCACAGTTGTCATCCGTGCACCCACTCACCTATGCCTGGGCTTCACGCACTCCCCACTCCTTCCCTGAAGCCGCCTTTGGCAGCTGACCCCAGAGACAGGGCTCATTGGCTTCAGCCTCTCCATCTGTCCAAATTTGCTCTCAGGAAAGGGTCCTGGGCTAGGGGTTAATCCTAGGTGCTGTTATCTCTACTTTTCCTCAGAGAGGTTATATACTTTCCCTAAGGTCACACAGCAGGTAGTCCTGCTTGGCTCCACAGGCTCAGTCTGCATCCCGAGCATCACTTTCTGCTGGGGAAGGCGGGCCACGTCCTCTGTGGGGGCATCTGGGGCTGCAGGGCAGTCAGGGCTGGAATTCTGGGCAGGCGCCTGATCTGGCCCTCCCTTCTGCTGTGCTGTGAGACTCAAGCCTTGGGGTCAAATTCCAGCCCCAGGAGCCCTTGTTAAGGCTTTAAAAGGGGATTCTATTGCCATTTAATTGTGGTTCTGCCCTTGAAGCCAGCTCCCAGCTCCCGAGGTTCCCAGCTGTCTGTAACGGGCAGCCTTGCTTTGGGTTTCTATCTATCTCCCAAAGCCCAGGGGATAGAGGCGTCCTGGGAAGTCTGAGGCCTGGGCCCCTCACCGACTACATAACTTTGGCCATTGCTGCCTCCATCTGGCCGTTGGTCTTCTCGCTTCTAAAGCTCCTTTCAGCCCCAATGTGAGCCATTGGTTCTTACCCTAAGCAGGGAACGGCGGTCTGCAGTTTGCTGGGGAAGGTGGGAGGGACGCGGAGGAGGAAGAACCAGAGCAGTGAAGAGGGCTCTGAGGCGGGTGGTGGCTTAGCAAGGGAGTAGGGTGGAGTTAAGGAAGATTCTAGAATCCCTAGACCTGGGTTCAAATCCTAGCACAGGACATGTGCAGGTGCTGGGGGCCCATGCTCAGGAGAGTCCATACTCGGTTTTATGTTCTGCCATGGCTTGAAATTCTTAACTTTCTGAATAGGGAGCCCAGCATTTTCATGTTGCACCGGGCCCCACAACTTAGGTTGCCAGCCCTGCTCCCGGTTATCAGCCGTGTGCCTTCTGGCAAGCTACGTCCCCACCTGGACCCTCGGTGTTCTCATCTGCAAAAGGGAGCATTGCTTCCACCACCTTGGGAGATTGTTTTGAGAAGCAAATGAAAGGCTTCAGGCGAAGAGCCAGGCAGGGTGACTACACAGCAGGTGTCAAACCCTGGTAATTAGGACAGTTGCTTTTCCCGCCGACAAAGAAAAATCTCTCAGAGCAGCGCAGTCCCTCTCCCAGCCTTGCCCAGTGCTCTCTGGGGACTGTACAGGACGCTTCAGGCCAAAAACAAAATCTTCACTGGGAAGCAAATCATTCCACCAACCTTACAACCCACTGCTTGTGGCTGTGCTGGGTCACGTGGTTTCGGGCCCTAAGCTGCTGGGCGATGAGGTTCTGGGGTTTCTGAGCCTGGGAAGAGATGGAGGTCTGGCCAGCTGGGTCCGGGTCACTCGTCTGCTCTTTACGAATGAAGGCTCGGTGCCCAGACGTGCTCATGGAGTCACCCCAAGTGTGGCTCGCTCTACGTCACATCCTGTAGGACCCCCACCGGATCTCTCTCCACGTCCCTGCAACTCAAACTCCCGGCATTTCTGGGGTGCTGATTTCCTGAACCAACATCTCAGCTCAGCAGTGGCCCAACAGTGAGACCTTGGACAAGTCTCTAAACCTCTCAGGGCCTCAGTTTCCCCCTCCGTGAAATACAGCTTTACCGCGTGGGTGTGTCACGTTAAATTAACCCCTGCGTGGAAAGCGCTTGGAACCGTGCTGAGAAGGTGAGCCACTGCATCCTCTGGCCCTCCTGCCTCACCTTCGCCCTGAGCTGCGGCACGATCCGAGATGCCTTCAGCGGAAACCCCTCGGTGGCTGCTGCCTTCAGGGTAAAGCCCAGACTCCTTGGCCTGGCTTCTCGGAGCCTCCACGAGGTAAGCACCTGCTCAGCACCCCTACCCCCTTCTCTAGCCAATGGCTTGGGATTCACTCTGGGAAACCTCCAGCCCCCAGTGCAGCTCCTATGACGTGACTGCCAGTCAAGCCAAGGGGTGGGCTCACGGCCTGGGCTCAGCCAATGGGCGCCCTCTCGAGGACTTTGATTTTTGAGGATGGAGAGGCCATTGAAAAGAGGGTGGGGAGGGTTCATTTAGAGGGTATCTCCTGAGTTCCTGCTGCTTGGATCTCCGGGGGTGCCCTGGGCCCCTTCCTTCTGAGTCTGAGTCTTTAGCTTTTCTTCCAGCTCTGTGCCCTTCTTCCTCGCAGCCTTCCACGGACGCCCTGTCTGCCCAGAGCAGCCTGCTGAGTTTCTGTTGCAGGCAACTAGACGGCCTGGCCTATGCGCCGTCTCCAGCCGGCAGCCTCTCCAGCCCTATCCTGGGCCACTCCCACCCTGACCTTCACCTTCTGTTTTTAAGGGTCTGCCTGCAGACCTCACAGACCATGCGTGCTGCTTCATGCCTCTGAAGCTTTGTTCCCGCCATTCCTCCTGCTGGGAACGCCCTGCCCACATTACTCCTTCGCTCACTCTTCACTCAGTCATTGTCGACTCCAACCGGCCCCCCCAACCCCTGCCCCCAGACTGGCTCTGACCCCGTGGGCAGCCCCTACCCGGGGCTTCCCTCCCTCCGTACTGGCATTCCCTGCACGGACGTTCTTCCCCCTCCCTCGTCTGAACCCCGGGCCAGGCCAGGACCAGGCTCTCTCAACAACTGTTTGATGGGCTTCAGAACCGTGGAGGGTCCAACAGAGACAGCCCCCTTGGGGCCTGCGCAGGGACTTCTGGGCCAGCAGGGACTGGATCCATTGCCCGCTGATGAGGGGTCATGAGGGAGCTGCTGAGGAGTGGGAGATGGGGGAGTTGTCCCGGAGTCACAATGGGCCCAACACCTCTCACTTCTGAGTTGTCCCAGAGTCACCATGGGCCCAACACCTGCCCCTGCCTCAGCCCCCAGTCCAGCCATGGCCCCAGCCCCAGTCCCAGCCTTCGATCCTGATACGTAAGGCAGGGGCAGGTCCCAGGCTTAGGTCCTGAAGACTCCTTTAGTTTGCCCCCTCCCCTGCCCTGGGTCAGGCATGGTCCCAAGCTGTGGGCAGGGCTGAGGCTTCATGGTTGCTGAATGCCCCAGGTGAAGAAGTGTCTGAGCTGCAGCCACCCACAATCAGGTAGGAGGAGGTAGAAAGGACAGTCCTAGGACAGGGCAGTGGAATTTGGGCAGCCCACAGAGTTAGGGCGTCAGGGGTGACCCGCCTCGCCTGCAGATGACCCACCTTGAGAGAAAGGACAAAAATAGCCCAAGTCTCCCCTGAAGTCACCAGCCCTCCAACTATCCCTTCTCCTTGGGAGCTGAACTGGTGGGGAGGGGCACGGAACCACGGAGAATCGGGCCCTCCACCCACAAGTGGGTTCGCAATGGACACGGCACCAGGACAAGCCAGCATTGTGATGTCATGGCCCAGTATGGCTTTGGGCTCCTGGAGCTGTGAATGAGTCAGCTGGGCCCCTTTCTCCTCCCCATGTTCATGAGGTCTGATGCTCAGGGTCGGGAAAACTGACCCTGTAGCCCCTCCCCGTCTCCCCCTTACCGTGTGCTGGGTTAGCCCAGGAGAGGGCCAGTGAATGACACCCTTAAGGACACTCTCTTCACCTTTTGGCCATAACTGGGAACCAGACGTAGGTGAGTGGCCCTTGCAACCCTTTGCAAGGCTGGGTCGGAACTACTTGTCAACTAAACTAGCTTCCCAGCTTAACCATGAGCTTATTCAAAGTGTCTGTCTCGGTCTCCCCTCGAGCTCAATAAGCTCTGTATACGGTCGGATTTTATGATGTCAGTTAAATACATAAATAGGTGGGGGTTGATGGGTAGAGACAGAGGACAAAGCTGCCGCCTCCTCATGCGGGCCGCTTTCTGAACCAGTCTCCAGCTTTTACCCAGGGCTTTTTCCTGGATGCCATCGGAAGCCAGCACCTGCCGGCAGTCCCGGGCACCTTGGGGCCCTTGGGATTTGGCGGTGATGGGCCCATCCCACTTATGGGGCGGCGAGGGTGATGCTGCTGCTATGGAATGGCCTGTTTGGCCCCTCCAGAGCTGGGGTACAGCTCAAAGACCCAAGACTCTGGATTTAGTGACCCAAGTTCAAATCCAGGCCTGACGTTTGTCCTTCAGCCAGTTACCCGTCCCCTCTGAGCCTCTGTTTCTTTTTCTATGCAGTTGGACCGTAGCCTGGTTTCCGAGGACTGTCGGGAGGATCAGAGGAGAAAGCTGCCCTGGTTGTCGCGGTTGCCATCCATCTTCTTCCTGCCTGGCCCACGTGGCCCTCATCCTCCAGGGTGGCCTGGGATGGTGAGGGGCAATGCCAGCGGCCATGGACACAGGCTGGGGTCTGGCCCAAGCAATACCGGTGATGAGGACAGATACCTGCCCCTGCTCTCGCAGGAACTCTGTCAGCTCCAGGCCAAGTCCAAGTTCTCCCAGGCCCTGCCATGCCCCTGCCCCAGCCTCAGTGCCACGTGCCATGGGCTAAGTGTCAGGGACTAAGTGTCAGGGACTGAGCATAGAAGCCTAAGGAGACCAGGCCATGGGATGGACGAGGGAGGCAATGATGCCTAGAAGTAAATCATGAGGGGCAGCTGTGGTGAGGGGCCGGGGCTCAGCTCCCACCTTTGACCTCAGACCCTGGGCCGGTCCCAGCTTTCCTTGGGCTTAGTCTCCCATCGCGAAAGCAGGTCTGTGGGTGGCCGTTCCTGTGCACCTGTCAGCCCATCCCCTCTAAAATCAGCCTTCGAGGTTGCTGCCTGGCTGAGTGGAGACCCTGGTCCTCGGGCCTCCTCCTCCCACCGTGCGGCCCTTCAGTTTCAGGCTGCCGACCAATGCCCGAATTAGATGAAAATAGACGAGTCCGAGCAGTTTTATGGAGAAAAGGTCCGACCCTTCTATCAGATTCGATAAGGCTTCCCAGCCCCAGTAAGGTTTGGCATCGTGGCTCGTAGGGCCCCGTGTACTGTTTGTAGAGAGAGACAATTTGTCCTGCATTTTCAGGACTGTATGGATGAGAAAATGGGGCTCCAGAGGCAGAGTGGCTTGGCCTGGGTCACTGAGCCCATCATTTCAGCCCCTGACCTTGACTGGGTCCAGAGTGGGTGACCTACTGGAGACTCATTTTGCTTGGGGAAGCCCCAAGAATCAGGTGTGGCTAGGCAGCAACAAGTGGCTGTCTCCTCTCTGGGGACTTCTGGGAGCCCCGACCTCAGACTGAGTGCTTACGATATGCTAGGTATTCCAGGTGTGGTCCCGGTCAGCTTGCGAGGGGGCATCTCTCTTATTACAGTTGGGCCACCTAGCCACAGAGAGGTGAAGCACCTGGCCATATCAGCAGCTATTAGGGGTTCAGGCCACCCACCCCCTGCTCAGCCTCCAGGAGAGGCACCTTACTAGACCCCCATGCCAGAATGACCAGCTTCACTCTCCCCCAGGTCCCTTCCTCACAGTGTGACCACTGGCGTTGCTTTGACCTGTTTGTGTTTCAACTTGCTCAGCAGTAAGTGGGGTGGGGAGAGACTTAAGCCCGTGGTGCACTGATGGGGGCAGTGGCTAGCCTGTGCAGGTCTGGGCAGGAGACCACAGAGGGTGGCCTCGCAAGGGATCACGACCTAGGAACCTCCAAACCACATCCTCATATCTGGCTCTCACCGTCACTGAAATGTCTCCACAGGCAGAGGAAGCTGAAGAGAGAGGTGGAGAAGCACAAACTTTTTGAAGACTATCTGATTAAGGTCCTTGAGAAAATCCCCCAGGGTACATATGTTGCTTCCTTAGAAAGCCTATCCTGTCTGCAGCCACCTCCCAGCCTTAGGACTGGGGCACAGCGTGTAGCCTTGCTGAACCTCGAGTTCATGTGCAGAGTGGGGATCTACAAAGACCAAAGCCAGCGTGGTTGAGAAGGGCTCAGCCTGCCTGAGCCAGCCTGCCTGGGGAAGCTCGGCCCTGTCGGGGCTAACGGTGTAGGCTGTGGTGGGTTCTCAAGGCCTTGGTCCCTTTATCTGTGCGGTGGGAGCAGCAGCGGTCACGTGGATCACATGGAACTCATCCTTAATAAGCATGTAGCACGGTACCTAGCATTTAGCTAGCACCCAGTAAATGTGAACTATCATTACTAGTATTTCATTTGTCTTTAGTTTTGCTTTTTGTTTTGCTATCGTCAACTAAAATTACAGAGACATCTGAAATGGTTTTGTTGTTATTGTTTTATCATGATTTATGGCAGAGTCAACTGTTACAAGTACTGGAA